TGGAGAAGCACCTACCAAAAAAAAAAAAAAAGCCAGCCTTAGAAACTCCAATAAAGCTTAACACTTCCTATAATTTTACCGGCTCCAGTGTCAGGCAGAGACAGTGCATCAGTGTCTCCTCTGAGCAGGGCAACATTTTTGATGTTGATTTGCATCCCAGCCTTTCAAAGGAACAGATTGCTTGGCTTTGGCTGAGTGGCATATATTCAGAAAGCCAAGCATTACCTGGAACTGCTAGAAACCAGCAAGGTCCATTGGTGCATCTGTGCACCAACATCTCGCTCTAAATGGCATCACCTCTCTAACTGTGACAATCTCCACCAATGTGCTGCTGTTGCAGTCCACAAGCACTACAGCAATAGACCCTCTGGGCAGTTCACCTCTCTGCTTCTGTTGCACTTTGGACTGGCCACAGCTCCTATTATATTTCTGGTAGCTTTTCAGTGTTCAGGTGATAATCTTCAAGCTCAGAGTTGCCTTACTTGTGCAATTAGTGCGGAAATAAATATTTGCAAAGTTTCAGGCTGTTTCTAATGCAACCGATGTCAGCAACCCACATTCAGAGTGCTCTCAGAAAGCATTATCCTCTAAATATGCTACAAGCTAATTCCACAGTCAATGATGAGATACTGAACAGTAAGATGAGATAGTGAATTTCAGTTTGATGAAAAGATTATCATTTTCTGAATTCCAACCCAGTCTGGACATGTTGCATAACACTAACATTTGCATGGGTGACAATACATGGAGAAAATAAAAGGTGCAAAAAATAAGTACCTTAAGGATTGGGATGCCAGCAGTTAGCTTGGATAGGACACAGATTTTGTGACCATGCAAAATTTCATGTATTGTTATATATACATCCAGCAGCTAATACTGATCTGGTCCTCAAACTGGTACCTTATTATCTGTAAATTGTGTCTTTCACATGATGGTCTCAATCCCCCATCTTTATGGGGAGCACTCTAATTCTTGTGGTCTATTTTAATGTGTCATGGTTGTGACTTTCTTCCTTTCATCTGAGATCCTGCTGTCCTGACCACTCATCCTGAGACTTCAGAACACCATGGTCATACCAAAACTGACTTAAGTGAATTTCATTTTGTAGCAAACAAAGATTCACGTTTTTTTTTAAAGTATATTTGAGAAACTGCTGGTGACACTGCTGTTAGCTTCTGACTGGAAAGTGATTTTAGCATGAAACAATGAATAGACATTAACATTCACTCTAGGTAAAATAGCTTTCGTAGCATCTACTCATATTTCACATTCTCCACACTAAATATTGCTCTTCTCACAGAATAATCATTCCATTGAATTCTTTGCCTCTGGCAAATACAGGACAAGCTCTGTCCGGTACAGCAATATTTTCTACCAAACAAAACCTTTTTTTTTTTTTTTCCTAATTAGAAGTTTTAGGGACAGCACGTGAAAAAGTGGTATTTGCATTAATTGAGCTAAGAATTATCTGAGGGGATGCTGTTTCATCCTCACTTACTCAGGAACTTTCTATTAGACTCTTGCCATATCACAGAAGATTGAGCAGTTCTGGCTGTCTATAGGAGATTCTGCTTCATCAGCATGAAATGATGGGACCACTCTTCAAAGCTGGGGTCCTCTTTCCCGTACAGACAACCCAAAACAATCCAGAAGGGGAAGAGGGTAAAGGGAAATATCTTCCCCCATCCCCACAGTCCTCAGAGTATTTCCATAGTGTTTGAAACTCACCAAAAAAAAGAATGCTATGACTACTGCTGTAAAACACTAAGCTTCCAGGCAAAATACATTTTCATTTCCAATAAAAACATGGGAGTTTCCCCACTGAAAACACATACACTTTCCAAACAGTCCTATCTATTGAAAAACAATAAACATTAGTTTTCTGTCCTGGAAGTTGTCTGCTACTGGATTTCTCTGTCTCGGGAAATTTAAGTGGCCTATATGAATACCTACTAGAGCTATGGAAAAAGGTAAAATTGCCTAAGTGGGCATGCTAAGAGGCATTCCAGCTCCGTTAAACCAACTCAATTAATTGAATCACAATAAAAACAAGAACAGAACAACCCCCTTTGGGCCCTGAAAAACCTCACTTCCTCCATTTCTTAGAACGTATTAGATGCAGAAGAAATCTTCATGCTGGCACTGCTCCACTACCGGATGGAAATTACCGAGCTGCAGTACAGAATATGGCAAAAGCATTTCACAAAAATTTCTGTTGAGTGATTAGAAAAAAAGCCAGATGCATTCCTCTCATATCATGATAACAGCTTGATTTCTGCTTCAAACAGTAATTTGGGACATTTTAAACAACACTTATTAAACAGTCTTAAGTCAACAAGTCTGAATAAATTGTGATTGAAAATTTAACCAGAGCTGACAAGGAAGTTCTCTGGACCCTCAGTACTGTTTCCAGTGAATTTCAGACCACCAGGAAAGATTTCAAAGGATCATGGGGAAGGATGAACTGACATCACATTAGCCTGTCACGCTGTAGATGGACTGATCTGAATGAACATGGGCTAGACAGGCAGGGGAAAATAACGGAATAAAGTATAAATATTGATTAGTTAGGTACATAAACAGAAGGCAAAAATAATTGAAGCTATTGAGGTTTATAAGAAATAGAGCTTGTCAAATACATTTGAGACATTATTTTGATAAACTGAAAATAAAAAACTGGTTGAGGACAGAAACAAGATTGATATTATACTGATGTCGGGCATTTAACATGTCACATGACATAAAAGCCAGAATGATACAAAAGTAACTGGATGGTGGGAAATGCATTAAAACTATGGTTTCTCATTGCATAGAAACCCAAACAACAGTATCTTCTAGTGTCATCTTGAGAACAGTATAAAATTTGTTCTTGCTCTTAACATTATTTAATGTTATTCTTAATAACTCGAATAAAACATAAAATTACTGATAAAAACTACACGTGACAAAATTTGGAGAGGGGAAGCAGGCTGAAGAGAATCAGACTGATCACTTATCAAAAAGAATTTCTCTTGCTTTCTGGTTGCAAATTGCGTTCAGAAGAGTGCAGAAATGTACTTACAGGACAGCGGTCCACTAACCTCAAAAGCAGCAGATCCAAATCCATGGTTTAGACTTCCAATCTGATGTGATGGCCAAGACTGCTACAAAAATGAGGCAAGAGTAGCAGTGGGAAGGGTTATACATTCTAGAGATCTTTTATCAATCCTGTTTTGCTTTGAGCACTCGTAGTCCAATTAAAAAGTACATTTAAATAATCTAAGAGAATCCAAATAAGAGTCCTGCAGATGAATAAAGGATTGAAAAGACTCAAGAGCTTAATCAGTTACTTTTAACGAGGAAAGCTGAGGAGTGACTTGCTCAGTTTGTAAATGCCTACAGTGAAAACAGCGATGTCACAGCATGTAATTCAGTTTAGCAGACAAAAGGCAAAAGATCCAACAGCTGGATACTGAGAGCAGACAAATTCAGGCTCAGTAGAAGAAACACATTTTCAACAGTGAGCAATTACCTTTTGAACAACTTGGGTGGATTCTTCATCACTAGGAGTTTTCGAATCAAGACTGGATGTTTCTTCTAAACACATGCTTCAGCTCGAACAAGAATTTGAGAAAGTCTCAGCAACGGCGCTCTACAGGAGAGTGGACTAAACACTCGGTGGTTCCTTTTGCCTTCAGATTGCAGGAATTTATTTTGGAAAAGTTATCTCTCTCTCATGGACATACCTCAAAGCAGGTACAAATTTAAAAAGGGATTAGAAGTCACATGCACTTCAGATCATGCAATACAGTTGTGGGCTACACAGTTGCATTATAAAGCTAAGTATATATCCCTCCCTGAAAGGTGGCATCATCTATACATGGCCAGAGCGTAACATTGTGTATGAAGGCCCTCCACCCCATTCCTGTGCCAGGAATCATGAGAAAGCAAACAGTAACAGCTAGCTACACTTAACCTCAGTGGATGACAAACTTCGCCCGCTAGGAGATTCCTCAGCTCAGGTTCGGGTAGGGTCCTGCTCCCTTTGGACTGTTTGAGTGTCACACAAGGAAAGACATAACAGAAAAAAAAACGTGACAAAAAAAGCAGCAATCTGCCTTTTTGGCCTCAGTAAAATAAGGGTGAATAGGCCTGACATGCAAATAGTTTTCATGATGCAAAGGAAAAGCTGGCCAGGAGAGAGTGAAATGATCTTGGCCGAAAATTTCCTTCTTGAACTGTACCTATATCCTTTAGGAATAAAAGATTTGCAAACACTGAGATTGCCATTCCAGAATAAAAAGACTTCAACGGAAAGCACTCATTTTGGATGTTAAACAATGAGATTCAAGTTCTTGCTTTGTCTAATTCAAAGAAAGAACTTTAACCAGAATCTCCATCCACAAGGCTTCTGGGCATTCTGGGAACAACTGTCTAGTTCTCACTGTAAATTTGATCTTTGAACAAAGAAAAGACCACAAAGAGACTGAAACATTTTGAAAAATGTGTTTTACTGAGAAGTTGTTATACAGATTTAGTTGAGAATGTTCTCCTTCAAGAGAACGGATAAAATTTTTCCACTCAAAAGTAATTCTTTCAGTAGCCAAGATACAGGTATCTTCACCTCACAATGTAAAACTGCATATCTGGCTGACAGGATTAAAATACAGTGTAGGAGTTTACTCTGCACAGACTGTGAGCGTGATGTACAGTCATCACACAAAGATAACAATTAAGAGATGGAAAAATTCTTCCAGGTTGTCATGAACAGATCTATGGCAATGGTCACCCACTATAATGTATTTTTAGTTTTCTGTACAGCCCACCTTTATTTGTGCTTCTCCTAGAAACCCTTTAATTCATACATAAGTCACTGTTGAAGCTCACATGACACACTTCACAGGGTTGTATCATCGTATCACTTTTTCACCTGCGCTCTCCCACTGCTGCTGTGGAGCTGTATGTAAAGCACACTCTGGGACTGAGGGCTCTGCAGTGTAACAACACTAAAATAAGCCAGATACTCGCCAAGTATACAATTTATTTCATTCATATTTCATAGTTTGTTTCCATAAAATTTTAGCAAAAAGGTCATGCTCTGTAATGGAGTTCTTAAGCTACTGTATTCAGAGCTGGCAATGGACTGAAAGGTAGAGAAAATGTTTACATTCCAATCAGAGCAGCAGAATTAATTAAAAAATAAATGAACATCTATTAGAACTCAATAGAAAAACAGGAGTCTATCTGACCCATCAAGCTACCCTTGCGTGTTAGCTGTCAGCAGCAACTGAGGGCCACAGCACGCAATTTGAATGACTTTTCAGACCAGTACAGTTGAGTCCAGACTAGCTTGTTAACACAAAAGTCAAATAAAAATCTGCAAGTTCAGTGCTTACAGGTTTCCAATCAAAAAGGCTAATGTTCCTCCTCAACTTCATCTCTGTCGGGCCACCTCCAGATCCTGTTCAGAATCACGATCTATTCTGGAACTCTCTCCTACCGTTTCCTTTCCTTCCTGTAAGGAGATCAGACGAAACATTCCTGTTTTTCGGGCACCTTTTGCTACTAGCCCCAGGTACTGCCACATCTGTCCTGCCAAATGCCATTCAGTGCAGAGACATCACAATTGGTTCCAAAAGAGCTAGATCAGGTATGGCCAACATTACACCGTACTCAGCTGCCTTCTGGTTTCTCTGGACAGATTTCGATATTGCTGTGCTGTGACTTATGAGAGGTCTATAACATAGAATAGAAGCAAGTGTATTTAAAAAACACATGACAGAGCACAGTCCATGAAGACTTTAACTGCACTCACGTACTGCTCTAGTCTTCAGTAGGTGGACAGGATAGCATGAAAGGCATTGCTATTACTTTGCTACCGCTCAGCTAGGGGTTTAGGGCAAATCCTGCTATGAAATTTCTCTTAGGCCTATGGCTAGTGCCAAATGTGACTCATTTCTCCTCTTGAGGCATGTATAAAATTTCTGTTCATGAGTCTAAAAAGGTGATCAAGAGGGGAAATCCTTTACAATTTCTCTAAAGCACATATTTTAGGAAGACTACAAAAAACATTCTCAAAGGTCTTTTGCAATACTAACTCCTGGTGGCCTCAGAAAAATGAAAGGGTCTAACACAAATTAGCACGAAGAGATCCACTCTACTTCCAGATTTCTTAAGAAACTGAAATAGATGACGGAGGTGCCAGAGCATCAAAATATACAGTCACCTAGGCTGCAAAATTTTTGAAAGTATTTTCAAGCAGAAATGAACACATCAATCATATCGCCATAAACAACCAGACTCCTTAGAATGCCTTTCTCTAAGGAGAATAACTCCTCTTACCCATACTGCCTTCAGATTGGAGGGATTGACATATAGTTAAGTGTCTAAATAAACTGAAATGAAATAAATGTCTGCAGAACAGCTTTTGCAACATGACTGCTGTGGATCTCTACTAGTAAGGCCTAACATCTTATGCACGCTGTGGTGCTAGCTATATTTCAAGGCAAGCAGGCTATTTAAGTGGAGGAGAATATTTTTGAAAAATCCAAATTCAGGTAGATCAAATTTTTAAGATTAACCAAGCTGACTTTTCTTTTTTTTGAACAGATGCACTCATCTGATTTTTCTAAATAAAAAAGGGGTGGGGGGAAGAGATGGGAGAACGAATTGTTTCACTGCAGACCAGTACACTCTTTTTCTCTTCACCTCTTTCCATTTTTAAACATAGTAAGCTCATTTCACAGCAAAAAAGGAGTCTTGTAAGCTAAGGAGAAATTAAATAATGTTTAACTAACTAAGCTTGCCAAATTAACCCTGGTGAATGACTGCCTTCTTGTACCCCATTAAGAACTTACTGCAGTCTTTTAAATAACAACAGTCAATGTTTAATCTATTAGCTACCAAAAGAAAATCCAAAGCCACTTGCTTAGTGCACTTGCTAGTCATTAATAGGTAATGCAAATAAATATGGCTTTGGAACAAACACTTCCAGTGCCAGCCTCATGATTTTCATATACCCAGTTTTACAGACTTAAATCAAAAATAGACTCATAGAAACAAGTCATTTCAGATGGGTCCTCAGACTCTCATTGCTTTGGTCAAAGACTGCAATGAATACAGAATGCTGCTTCAGCACAAGCAGATCTCCACTAATTCAAAAGTGTTATAAGCCCAACAGAAAGACTCTCTGCTACAACAAAGGACAGTAGATCAGTCTAAAGATACCTCCCCATCAGCCCTTTTCCCCTCCTTACTCCAACTCCCTTCCTTCATCTACTTGCAGCTGATGATGGCCCGATATGGGGGCTTGTTCTGCTGTCCCATTCTCAAAATTGGTTATCTGAAGATGGGAATAGAAAAATGCTTGCTTGAAGAGTACTGAAAATGACTGTCTTTTCACAGCATGAACGGGAACATGTCAGTAGAACACATCCAAACTTCCCAAGTTCAAGGAAGTACACAGAGTTAACATGGAGCTGAAGGTTACACTGAAGTAGTAGTACCCATTCTGTCAAGATCCCATCTGCTATTCCAGTCCCACAACTGATTCTGAAGACAAGCCGTAAATGGCATGACACTTTGCAAGTTTGTTTTAAGTCTCCGTCTCAGAAAATGCTCAAGTAAAAGTTTGAGACAAGAAATCTGAGGCACAGGAATAGCTTGAACAACAGCTATGTACCATTTTACTACATGTTGGGATAAGTGGAATCTTCAACGTTGCTAACAGCTTTATCTGATCCTGTCAGAGACGCTTCTAGCTCTGCCCAGGACTGGGGAGCATTGTTCTTTATTGCCTCTATGAAAAGCTGTGTTTGGTGCTTTAGTCGATCCAGCTCAGCCTGAGTCACCTGGTTCTGATGAATGAGCTCCTTGGTTTTTAAGGTAATCTCCAACAATCCTGACCTGCGTAGCACAACCAGCGTATTCTGAAAGCGTCTGCACTTGCTTTGCTGCTGCAAGAGCAGCTCAGGGGTAGCACAAACCTCCTCTGGTACCAATGGCGGGCTCCACACTGCAGACTGCATCATATATTGTGCTGTCGTCTCAGAAGGGGTGCATTTTGTTGCCTGCATAGTTCCAAAAGGCAAAAGGGGGGCCAAACCTGGGACTTTCTGTGTGTCAGTGGAAATACGATGGAAACTGGGAAGAGCTGACACTTTTCCACTTGTCAGAGTTGAGGAACTTTGCTGGTTAGAATCCTGAGCAGACTTAAAGCTAACTGGTAGGTGGCCAAAAGGACTAGTGGGCAAACCCATGCTCCTTGACAGGGGAGAAGTCTCCACCTTGGGTGCTTCAGTGCAGAGGCGTTTATGGCAATTGGTTTCCTCACCTTCCTCTAGATCCAAGGAGTGATCTCTTTTGCAGGGCTGTGGTGCTATTTTGGGATAAGAGTTCAGGATAGGCAGGTAATTAGTGGAGTCACTTCTCTTCTTTCCAACAGGGCGAGGGTTAATGGGAGGTGGGATTGATGGGTGAAGAAACACTAGCTGTGGCTGAGCTGGAATAACTTCAAACGACGGCTGGACAGTCCAAGACTGGAGCTGTGATGAACTCCCCTGAGAAGCACAAATGAGGAAATACAGAATTATTACAATATATGCTAGAAAAGGAGTAAAAAAATCTCAACCAAAACAGATGATCTGTGTCAGTTCTTCACACTATTTGATACCAACACTTCATTATAATGCCTTTTGAACAGCTCTCCATCAAACTCATCCTTCCCTTCCTCTGAAGATAGAATTTGGCGGTAGAATCAAGGCCGTAATCCATAATCCATTTATTATGGAACAGCAGAAACACTTAAAAATAATGAAATTTGAATTTGTGCATGTAAGGATTACAGTGCATGCTTACATTGTACAATGCTGGTGTAGAATTATCATCAGCCTTAGGGTAGAATAAGTGCAAAGAAACCTTGAAAAATAACCACAACGCTTAGTTATGAAATATTTTAACTGAATCAAAGAAATGCTGCACTGACATTTTAAGAACAATTCAAACTCCCTCTCTTTTGAAAAACAGCAACTCTAAACTTGTCATTTCTATTCTTACTGCAAGCTTTTGAAATAGTTATTTAAAATAGATGACAGCTGTTCACCAAGTCTAGCAGACTTAAATACAATACACAGTTTCAATGAATTTAAAACCATGAAGTTGAAAAAAAAATGCTGTATCAACCAGCCTAAGCAAAGCAGCCTGTTGTAAGCCTAGAGAAGTTGAATTCCACACCTTTGGTAACACAGGGTGCATCGATAAGCCTTAAAAGCATTATATTTCAAGAAAAAAGACTGAGCTTTTGGCCTTTCCCACAATTCACATTCTTCAATATAAGGGGACAGATCAATTTTACAAGACACTACCTCCTCCTTCACTATATTATTAGGGATCATCACTAGATCTCCTGGCTGATAAGTATGCTCGCTTTTTTCCAACCCTATCAAATGTTCTCATAAGAGATACTATTTCTTCCTGAAAAAAAAAGTCTTACTTGGTGTATATTTAAGCCATCACCACTACAATTATACTAGTATAATCATAACAGCGTCAGCTCCTTTTCTAATTCCTAAAGCTTACCACTTAGAATGCTACTGGTAGGCTTGCTAAAGGCACAGGTTTTAGCTAGCACTGAAACACTTTATTTCTGGCACTACACTGACCCATCTGAAATCCGTCTCCTTTCACCCAGTCATCTTATAGACTTTAAGCTAGCAAATAAAATGTTTTGCTGAAGTCCATTCACCGTAGCAAAGGGCTAAAACTCATTAAAAGTAAATATAATCAACTCATCAAGACCCTGATACTTGGAGATGAGATCAAGTTAGTTACTCTGACACAGATCTGATTCCTTTGGTTCAGTGGGCAACATGCTTATGGAATAGGAGTACAGAACAAACATCTGTGAAATGGTAGTGTTATTTCCTTCTTTCAAAGAAGCAAGGACAAACATATTCAAAATAACGGTATCTGGAGACATTAGGAGTGGGAAAGTATAGAAATACCCTGGCTGTGTAAACAGAGAACAGAATGAGCAATCTGTACATTTGTGTCGTACCTAGGTACAGTAGAGCCCTAAACTCGTCATGCAAAACCAAAATAAAAGGGTAACACTTGATTGAAATCACGATTGGAACGAATAAACAGCAGTAATTGGGAACGCTGCATTTTTTTTGGTGCAGTGAGCCCAAGTGAGCACTGTTTTGAAAAGTCCATTTTAAAAATATGTCCAACGTGACTACCTGGGGTAACCAGGCTTAATGGAAAAAGGCAGATGCACGCTTCACTATCATTCTGACTTAGACTTGCTGCTTTTGTTTATTGCAGTAAACATTCTTCAGTTTAACATGACTGCAACATGATCTACAGTTTAATATTAGACTACCACTGGAATCAGTATTCCACTTTTGAGCTCCAGTCCGAAGGCTATCAGTAGGTGAAGCCTGTCCATTCCCTACCACATGAAAACTTCCGCAGTTGTTTAGAGAGCTTGTCCACACATCCAGAGGCCTGGCTATAAACCAAAACTGTTCTTGTCGAGATAAAGCACAACACTCAAATCACAACTGACTCTCCTACAAAAGCACGATCTGCCACACACTGACAGAAACCCATCTCTCTGTTAGTGCTGAAGCACTAACAATATTGAGTTTAATCAGTTTTGCTTACTGCTGTAATAGATTCAGGAGAAAAAAAAAAAAAAGAAAAAAATCAGGGCCTATATCCTTCCCTACCCCACTGCATTCTCTGAAATATTCTGGTCAGAGAAAAGGGCTGAAGAACTTTTACTCTGCTCAGAAAACATGAGCAAGAGGCTTTAAAATAACGCAATACTTTGGATTGTACCTCTCATCTTCTGTTGAAGCTGTTGTGAATGTTTTAAGTATCTTACAGATGTGCTGGAGGAGCAACACACATCATGATAGTAGAAGATCTAGCTGGGAATACGTAATCGTTACAATGTGAGCCATCACATGTAATTAAAAGAAATAACTGCTGAAGTAAAAATACCATAGCCAAGTTTAGACACAGATGTAAACTTTTTCATTTGTAATATTTTGGATTAGGGCTTCCCATGGCATATAAAACATTTCCTGGACTTTAAGAACTAGCAAGCAAAATGAATCACATGACTTTACTGTCTAAGCTATCTAGCATCTAAGTACGCAAAAAGAAAACACCAGTTTTCAAAAGAAAAAATACATTCATGATAAGTTTTTTGGCTTGATCTCTGATGCTATTTACACAGCATTCTATAAGATCTGTTTTGGGGGTGGGGGAATCCCTTTGAGACAAAGAGGTTTAGCAGATGTAGTAGAACTACATTTCTTACATTGTTCCATCTTAGTGATTTTAGCTGCCCTTCCAAATGGCAGGCTCTCAGTAACAGAACTTTTCAGGTCACCAGTTACTTTCTGCACTGCAGCTGTAGCAACTTGTATCGTTCTTCCCGAAAGGAAAATAGTTAAAAACAAAAAACTTTTTTGAAGAACACGTAGTATTTTCCAACACGTTATTTCTTCCCTACCTGTTTAACCAACACATTTTTCATTACAACCATAGGAGAAAGTGCAGGAAAGGAATTGTTTGTAGTCACTGGGCATGGCCAGGGCCCATCCTCCGTGTTCCAACACAGTGCGTTTAGCACGTCCTCCGAGTCCGTCTGCTCCATAGCACTCAGGCAATCTGAGCTTCCATCTGCCAGGTGTAGAATTCAGTTGTTAGTTGTTTTACATGCAGTATGCCTGCTAACTTCTTTCAGTTTTATTGTTCTGCTCCTGTTCAAGCAAACCACAAAGAATAATAAAGTCTGATTCTAAAATATCATTAAAATTAGCCACAGCGTGACAGCTGTTAAACAGCCCTTAATAAAAGGCTTTGTATTTCAGGCCAGTTCTTATGCAGATGCTTGCTCCCAAGCAAACTTTCCATTCCTTTCCATTTAATTGCCAAGGACCTGCACACTATCATGAGGATAACTCTAAAGCCAGATGCAGGAAAGAATTATAGGATTCTGCATTGCTATAGCCATAGTCTGTGCTGCAGTCATTTTGTGTCTTAAAAATCTCTTTTTTACAAACCCAGGAACTCAGGCACCTCTCACAAAAGCATTTTTATCTTTTAAAGGTAATCTTTGCATAGTTTTGTTGAATATTAAAACTGAGCACTGCAACTACATTTTACTGATGTTATAAAAATTACTTTCTAGCTTATCAGGCTGTACTGCTGAGCTGGTAGTATCCTAGGAGACAGCAGACAGCATAATCCATTAGTTCACTCATCTCTGCCGTGAACTAGAAGTGATCTTTCCATTTCTGCTTCTACACTCTGAAATAGGAGATTCATCTATTAATTTATCTATTAGGCTTATTTTAAACTCCCATATCATTCAAAATTCACAGGATGATCTTTATAACTACATAAAGCTCCACTCCAAAAAATTTGATAGTAGGATGATTTTTCAACCCGCATTGCGCCCAAAGGCGTTCCCAGAAAACCAGATACAAGCAGCGAGGGTCTAATGAGAGACAGACTTGTCAAAGGTCACCAACAAAAGTAATATCTGAGCAAGATAACAGAAAGAAAGGTAACAGTTGACTTTTTTCTAAACCTGAGTATCCAGAGTCCTTGTCAGACTCAGCTGCTGCCATGCTGAAGCGATGGTTCAAGCTTTTCATTTCCATCACTTTGCCGAATAGTTCTGTGAGGCTCTCAATAGGTGACTATTTTCTCTCCATGCTTCCACAGTGCGGGAGACAGTTTTCAACACCTTTTCCATGGAGGAACTATAAAAATAGTTAGAAACAGCAAGTGACTTCCTCCGAATCCAGAGGAGAAAGTTTCACCAGGATAAGTTTACAAAGCAGGATATGTTTGCCCTTATAGTAGTCTAGTTATCAAAGGTTTGTTAGACTTGTTAAGCAATCTGTAGAATTCTGTTAAACTCCCAGCTTCACACATGCTTTATTTATCACAGAGGTTAGCAAGGGGCTGCCAATAAGACCACAGTCTATTCCCCGCAAAATTCTCAATGCGTGTTTAATAATCCATTACAGAATGGCTACGATAGGTAACAATCTTTAGTATCAACTGATACACTACTTCATAAAACTTTCTGCAGTGATGTTTTCCATCTCCTCAGGCTGATTTTTTAAGTGTCCAGAAAATTCCTATGATCCAATCTTTCAGTCCCCTGTACCAAGTACAGGGAAAGAATATAAAATGCGGCATGGATGCTGGCAAGGGCCAGTTCAAAGATGCAGAAAAACTACGGCATAGGAAAGAAGAAGTCAATTGAAGCAGAACTACAGTACAGATCTTCTATAACCCATTTTTACTATTCCTGTGAAAACTAATAAATCAAAGGGATGTGGTAGAAGGGCCAGAATTCACCTACTCAGCTTCCTTCTTCAGGGGCTAAACAAGTCAGAGTAGAGAGCACAGGTCAGCCAGTCTTTCTGAGTTTACCTGAAGTAGCATCGTTTCCTACTTAAAATTACTGAGTAATTCCTGGTAGATTCACCCAGAAAGCACACTCTGCACAAATAACTTCTAACTCTGTTGAGGATTCTACTAGACAACTAAAAATTCCTTACTGTATGCATAAAAGTTTGGAAATAGGAAGATGATTTCTTGTATTGAACTGTCAAAAACGTAATGCCCAGTTCTATTTGATTGCTCTGAAGTTCAGGACCATGGGTGACCAAGATAAAATAGCAGTTATCAGGCGTACACTTGTTATCTGTAATTAAATCAATCCTCCTTTAAGTGAAGTGGGACAGCTGTGCATTTTAAGTTTTTCTTTTTAAACACTGCCAATTAATTAATTGAAGATCTTTCAGAAGCAGAAGCATCTCAAGTGATTTTAAAAAATGAAATGTAGAGAGAAAATTAATGCATTAGAGCCATTTCTCTATCCAAAAAGGCAAAACAAACTGAAAGCTGAAAGCTATTCATAAACAACATTTTGTTGAAGAATTAAGGTTGCTCAGGCCATACCTGTCTTATAAACTCAGCTATCTTGGGTAGGGAATTGCATCCCCAAACAGGTCAGCTCTGCTGCGCAAATCCCATACCATAAATACAGCTGAACCTGCAAAGCTCTGCTTTTGCTAGCTTATTTCACTCTCAAGAGTGAGGGTACATCTGGAGATCAGAGAACGTGCTGGGGCTAGGGAAATCCTTATTGCTAAATGTGCAACACATACTATACCTGCAAAGCACTCCTAGTGGAGACATGGCCTTAGAAATGCCTCTTCTTCCCATACCCTTTCAGAATGAGAACGCTGGAAGGCTGAAACTAAAAGCTATGAAAACCAGAAAAATGTATAGTTACTTTATGGCTGCCCATAGCATGTACTCTTCACAACCTTCAGCTGCTTCCTAAGGGTAGGTAGACTCTAACAAGACAGAATAAAGTTTCTGCTTTTCTTAAAGAAGGTAGCTCAGACTCTGGCTACCAGATAGATGACAGGACGAACCACAGAAATTAGGTCTAATACTATTTGTAGAAATTACTTTCTTATAAAAAAATCATTTAAAAATGTGGTTGATGTTAGAACTATAAATTCAAATACAAATACAGGAACTCAGGAGTTCACATAATATCCAGACCAGCAGTCCACTAATGGTAGTATCCAGTGCTAGATACTTCAAATGATATTGCAGCAGACACATTCTGGAACAATCTACCCCAAAAGGTGAGTTTCTTCTTAAAAGAAGAATTGCTAGAATTCTGGTCAAGTTCTTGAGCCTTGACACCTCCAGTAATGAACTCTGCACTTTAGGTAAGAGTGCTAAGATGCTAGCATAACCATCTGTAAAACTACAAGACAGAATAATGCTCAACAAAAAAGGACTTATTCAATGTTTTGCCTCATTTTTGCTTTTTATCTTCAATCACATCTGCTGATATGCTAACAGAGACAGAGTCAACTACATTAGACCAACATGTGGACTGGTCTGGAGCTATCCTGCTCCACATACCATAAACAGAATTATTTGATAAAGCAGCATGCATTTTAACTAGATTAAAAATTACAAATATAAACTCGGCTTCACCATCTCTTATCACTAAGAGACCAGTTTTAACTGAATACTCATGGTACAGATAGGTTTAAATGGAAGATGAGGCTTAAGTCCCTCCCTTAGTTACTTATCCCTCTCCAAAATAAATAAATTTTAAAGAAAGGGGTATGTGCTGCTGATGAGCTAGAGCTAAAGAGCAGAACTAGAAACAGGACGAGGGCTAGAAATAAGTAAAATGAGAACACACCATACGTCAGCCTCGCGCTTTAGGCAGGACGGGCACGTCTTCTCCCCCATACGAACAAACCACACGAACGAGGCGGGTAAGGGCCGAGGCGGGTAAGGGCCGAGGCGGGTA